AGAGCGATGCGCTCAAACCTCCTCCAGGGGCGGTTCTGGGTGAGGTCGTGACTAGTGGTCGAGACTTCAGGAATGCATACCATGCAGTAACATACACCTGCGCCCTGTACACCGGCTGAAAGGATGCGCGAAATAGCCGTTCATTCTCCTCTCACTTCCCTCTATGCAGCTTGAACGTCGCCTGAATGCCCTTTCCCGCCCTGATATCCTGCATGCACCTTTCGTCGACTTCCCGACCCTTCGTCGCTAGGGCTATGACCCCCTCCGCAAGGCCCGCTGGAATACAGACAACTCCGTCCTCGTCAGCGACCATCCAGTCTCCGGGAGAAACTTGCACGGCCGGGAAGTCCTCTTCCGACACGTCCGGAGGGCGAATAACCAGAGGTACGTTCACCTCAGATGGGCGCGTGAAGGGAGACTGTCCAAGGGTGGAGTGCCCTCTCGCGAAGACAGGGAAGGAGGCAGCCCGGTGCTCCGCGAGATCTCTGCAGCGTCCGGAGATGATGACTCCGCGAGCTCCGCGAGATTGTGCGCCAGCGGTCATCAATCCACCCCAGACGGCGTTCTTCACAGCTGTATGGAAGCGCAACCATGTACAGCGTGAGTGACAATCACAGGGTGAATCAAGCGATGTTACTGAACCATGGGGCGCGTTAATCACGACCACTGACCCCTCCGGGGCGGTGTCTACGAAGTGGGTGGACAATTTTGGAGCGGTCGTGTCTGAACCAAGCACCATTTGAACCGTGTATGCCGGCCCACAGATACGGGTCGTCGAGTCTGAGGGAGAGAGCATATGTATGTCGGGGATGTGCCCACCGTGAGGGCTACCCAGCTTGATTAACGCGTCTGAGATCTCGCATGTCGAGAATTCCGCGAGATTGGTCTGCATAGCTGCTACACCAGACGACATGTCGAGGAACAGGATGTGAACTGCGACGGAGGTAGTGGTGGGAGACGAGATACGAAGGCCATGTTGACGAAGAGCACGAGTGCCCTCCGCACGGAGTCCGTCTGAACGCAACACAATCACGAGCCCAAGAGCTATTAATCGCAAGCGTCGATTAAGTCCTCATTTAGAAATCTGTAATAGACTTATTGGCACACTAATAACGTTCTCCAAATGCTGCCGAAGCCTCCGATCAGCCCTCCGCCACCGCCGCCACCGCCTTCCCCTCAACCTCTTCCTTGCCGCGTTGTACCCACCCACTAATCTATCCGACTGGCCACGTTACTCGACATTCATTCTCCAGTACAGCACGACTAGATAGTGGTAAACCACTCAAGAAGTATCATAAACATGCCTAGGCTACCAGACTCCTCCGAGTCCACCATGGATCCCCTATGGACCCGGACAGCTCGCCGGTCTCGCAAGACTGTTCGCAGACTGAACAAGGCCGTCATGCGTTCGTATCATTTCCGAATACCGAAATACGACATGCCCATCCGCCTACGGCCGGTATGAACATCGTCCTGGCGTGGTTTCCTGCAACTAATTCGCCGGACGCCACAGTGGTTTGTGGTCTTCACCTCCCTGATTCTGGTCACCCTCGCATTGCTTGGGTTCACCAACTTCTCCCACGCGCTTCCTGTGAACGACAAGGTCCTCCATTTTCTTTGTATGGCCATCGCCACGGGAGTATTTTACTTCATATTTGATGTCGAAGAGTAGGTCCTCCTGTGTCCGCATGAGATCACCATGCGTAACTGAGCATCATCTTCCTCCTTGTGCAAATTATCAGAGATGCAAGGCGTATCTGGTTTTGGCGCAGTGCGCCTCTGATCTTTTCGGGGGTCGTGTGCTTCTTCTTCGGAGGCATCATCAGCGAAATTGTACAATCCATGTTGCCAGTATGTACCCTACGTCATGACATCGCGTGCCTTCTACTGACAGTGATTCCAGTACAAGGAGTTCCAAGTTGGCGATGTCGCGGTGAGCATATTTTCTGCTTTAACTCAATGCTGCACTGACTGGACGTGTCCAGGCTAACCTGCTGGGGTCGACCCTCGGCTTGTATGTCGCATACCACCTAGAGCGATATTACAGGCATAGACGAGAGGTACGGGACAGTGCTGCGGCCAGCGCGGACTACACTAACGCTCTTCACAGATCTCTCGACTATATCAGCCACTTGACCCTGAAGCAGTGTCGGAGGATGAGGAGGATTCCGACATATATGGAACCCAGTTGCTGCCTTTGCACTACGAGCCCCGTACCCCTCGCACCCCCTTCAAGCCTGGTCGAGCGACGGCAGCTCCGAAGGCAGCGCGCATTGCGGACGTATGGGACGAGCGAGAGGAGCTGTTTGATATCGGGGACGAAAGCGAGGACGAGGACGAGGCGCGTAGCCGAGGGGGCCCACCCCCTCCTCCGCCCAAGATCGTCGTTACGCGGGAATGATCTACTCCATATTGTACTGGGTATTTGGCACATAAATTGTAGCTATATCGTCATGTCAGGTGAAAACAGACTGGTTTGTTTTGTGGAGATGTTCCCGACAGTCACCCCGTCGCTGCAGGAGCGGACCTGTGGCCGGAAAGCGCGTGCAGCCGGCGCGTCTCGCCATGATCGCGACTCTCATCCATGCCGACATGTCTGGCCTCGTCGTCTGGCCTACTTCGCTCCGCTGTACATCCTCATAGCTCTCATACGCGCCAATTGACCACATATGCCGTGCGGTGGGCAGCAGGCTGTCGAAGGACAGCAACAAGCGTGCGGCGAGCAGCGCTCTCCACTGCCGCGACCGCAGTCCCTGCAAAGTACGAGGAGCAGCGAGCTCATACCTTGACTGTCCTGCACAAGACCGCTGCGCTTCTGCCTCGGATTCTACCTAGTTTAAGGCCTAGTCCTGACGGTATCTCACTGCAAGAATCGCTGCAGTTCTGGGAGGATGTTCTGGGCAAGGTGTACGAGGACTTGTCTCTCTCGCCAGAGCAGAAGGAGAAGGGTGTTGTCAGAGTGGCCGGTACGTGACGAGTTGTCTGCTTCATAGATCACTCGCGGGCGCGGATTACACTCAACCATGATTTGACTGCACAGTGTACGGAGTGGACGAGTCATCCAACGCGGGCGACCTAGTGACCGCGCTCCTCGAGGATCCGTTCGTGTCGGAAGAGCAGAAGAAGACGCTTCGCACACGTTGGGAAGCACAACCCCAAGGTAGCCGTTCTGTGAGGATACAGTGAGTTATATGCGGCCGCATGCTTTACCCATGCTCACTCTGAGCTAGGTACGGCACCTCCCCGACCACTGGTGACGTCGTCCATGTCCAGTCTTCATGGCTGCAACACTTCGGTGTACCACTAGAAGTGTCTGAGTACAAGCCCTCATCCTCTCCAGAGACTGCGAAAGCGCTCTTTACGGCCGACGTACCAATAGTGCTTTGCAACCCTGCGTCCACTCCCTTACCTTCTATCCTCCCCATTTCGACGGACCCCCCTCTGCCCGTCTCTCGACAACATGCCGTCCTCGCTATCTCTTCTCCTTCGCCGACTCATCCCAGTGCAGCTATGCAAGCTGCTCAAGTCAAGGGCCTCGCAGTCAATGAAGATCTGCGAGTTGTGTTCGTTGATTCAGCACGCGCCCTACACGGACTGGAGCAGCTTGGTTATGCCCCAGCTACGCCTCTCTCTGTGCAGCGATACCAGGACGACGTCACCGGGTCGAATGTCGCTAGCGTCACGCAAATTGTCAAAGGCATCATCTCCAAGGCGCTGGGCGAGACAGCTCACACTCCCGATTTCGCGAAGGTGGTCGCGGTGCACACCCAGACGGGGCGCGCACTCGTGAAGGAGGCACTTCTGACTTGCCGTAACGTCCTGCGGCATGCGGAGCTCGAGGCGGACGCTGTTCTCACCGGGACGAGTACGCTGCGCGGACAGATGGAAGAGGCGAAGGCCAAGGTCCACCTGGAGATTTTCGGTGCGCCGGGAAATGATGGGGACGAGATCGCCAAAGCGGTAGGTCAGGCTCGGAAAAGCGTGAAGGTCACAATGGACTCCCTGCAGTGGTACAAGCTCTTTTGGAGGGTGGATGACATCCGCGAGGTTGTGACCGCTGCTGTCGACAGGGCATGGTGCAGAGATCTCGAGCGTAAGGTAGGTTCAATCTGCTTTCGATGGTCCTGTCGGAAGCTCAGCTGTAGCATTGCAGCTCGTCTTCCATGCTGGCCGACTAGCCGCATTGCAGTCCTCATTCAAGGACTCCGCAGCCGCTCTCTGCCGCTCTTTCCCACCGTCATCGCCGTACCACTCTCCAGTTCTGCATAACGCGCTCGAGCGCATCGTCTCCGCGCCCTCGTACCCGCTCACGGCGACCGCCCTCACTTCGCCACTACACGCTCGCCAAAGCCAGCTCGGCTTCCCGACGGAGCGGCTGCACATTGCTGCGCAGCGTGCGGTCATCACGATGAGTGGGAGCATGCTGAGTGGTTTCGGCGTTGCGTGGTCAGGCTGGGCAAGCGAGCTCGGCCTGGCTGGCGGATACATCAACGTTGGGATGACCATGGAGACTGCGCTGGGAGTGGGTATGTTGGGCGCCGTCCTTGGCGTACGGTGGGCTGTTGGTCGATGGGACAAGGCAAAGAAGCGATGGTGGAAGGACTGGGACCGCGTAGGAGAGGGGCTAGAGAGGGATCTGAAGGTCAGTATCGCGTCCTCTGTAACCTCCAAGGATGTGACCCTGATGGTCCCTGTTATTAGGATGCTCTCAGCCGCACGATGGAACAGCATGTCGTCCTCGTATCCGAGACCGCTTGCTCTGGTCTGGAGAAGATCGTGGCGAAACGAAAAGCGGAGGTCCAGGAGCTGAAGGAGGAGGTGCAATCTCTAGAGGCCGAGTTGGGCGGACGCAGTCATGTCGATACCTCTCAATGAACTCCCCATTGCCTAGTCGACTGAAAGATACTAGTGGTCTTATAGTCAGTGCAGTGTAGACATACCACCCACCTACTCTAGTGTACTCTCCAGCTCGCAGAGCGAGGTCCAAAAATCGACAAAAATACACTGAGCGGGAGTCGAACCCGCGCCGCTTGCTACCCGCTTGAAGCCGTGGAAGGCAAGCATGATACCGTTTCACCATCAGTGTGTTGGAATCCATTCGCCTCAGCTTAGTATCATCATGCCCTTGGAACGTGGATCCTCAGTCCAAGGGCCGAAGACAATACATGGATTTATTCCAATGCTATCTACAGAAGCATTCAGTCTAGGACAGCATACTTTTTCAAGTGTTCTGGTATCGCAGACTCGAGTCCCTTCGCTTGCAGCCACTTCTTGGAGAAAAGGCGGCTCTGATAGCGGTAGGCTCCATCGCAGAGTACTGTGGCAATCGTCTTGCCTATAGCCCAATAGTCAGTTCATATCTTGGGAAAACAAAGCTACCATGAAGCGCATACCTGGGCCAAGCTTCTTGGCGAGCTCGACGGCAGCGACGACATTGAGCGCGGAACTCGCGCCGAGGTAGAGACCCTCGGTATCGAGGAGGTCGTAGAGCATCGCGATCGACTTCTCGTCAGGGATGTGCAGCGCACCGTCGATGTTCTTGACGAAAGTGCCCAGGTTGTTGGTGATACGGCCCTGACCGATACCTAGGAGCTGCGCGATTAGGATGTGTTATTTTCGCCGGATAATGTAAGATGCATACCCTCGGTGATTGAGCCCCCGCTACGCTCCGTCAGCTTCCCTCCGCTACTGATGTAGCTATAGAGCACACTGCCCGGAGGGTCTGCAAGCCACACCTGCGTCTTACCGTCGCTTTTCTCCTTCAACGCGCGCCCGGTGCCCGCGAGCGTGCCGCCCGTGCCTGTCGCGCAGATGAACGCGTCAACTTTGCCCTGGGTCTGCTCCCAAATCTCGGGGCCGGTCGTGCGGTAGTGCGCCTCCGCGTTCGCGGTGTTGTCGAATTGGTCGGTCCAGATAGCGTTCGGGAGCTCCTTCGCGAAGTCGCGCGCCTGGTGATTGTAGTTTGCCGGGTTCTCATACGCAACTGCGGGCACGGGGTACACCTCCGCGCCGAGCATGCGCAGGAGGTCGATCTTTTCCTGACTCTTTGTGGCGTGAAGGACGGCGGAGATTGAACGGTAGGGATTTGCGGTTGGTAAATGCACAGGTTGAGAGGAAAGAGGACATACCTGCGTGTTGGGCATGAAGATCACGCAGCGGTAGCCTCGCGCTCTGCAGACGTGGGCCAGCCCAATACCAGTGTTTCCAGCGGTACCCTCAACGACCGTCCCGCCAGGCTTCAACCTGCATGCAAGCTGCCATGAGTGATGCCAAGACACGACGGCGGACGCACTGCACTCACAGACCTCGCTTCTCCGCATCGAGGATGACACCGAGTGCCGCGCGGTCCTTCACGCTACCACCAGGGTTTTGGAGTTCGCTCTTTGCAACAATGTCGCAGCCCGTCTGCTCGGAGAGCTTCTGCAGGCGAATCTGTATTGACGGGACTTGTCAACGACATCCGAGAGATTGCGCGATACGTGGACTGACCAAGGGGGTGTTGCCGATGCCGCCGACGAAGCCATCGACTGGACGAGAGGTGAACGCGCGAGCAAGAGGCTTCAGAGGCCTCGCCCTGAAGGCTGCGGTTATCGACTGCATGGTGGTAGCAAGCGAGAGAGAGGCGCGAGCTTCCGACGACGAACGGAAGGCTTTCGGAGGCTCGCTGGGAATTACTTCATGCAGAGCATGTCATAGTCGCGGGGCTGGGTTTTGAGTGCCGACAGAGCTCGCGTCGCAGCGAAGGCGTCATCGTGAGCAACGTTCTGGCCGCCGACTCACATTCGGCGGCTATGTAAACGCATTTCCAACCGCTCTCAAGGCCGCGAATCCTACAATGACGAGCGGACACAATCATGACTGTGCGCGGAGAGAAGTTGATGATTACTGATATCCGAATGGCCCGGCGACCTTCAAGTTACACGCGCTCGAGACTCCGACTGCGTTTGACCCCAAGCTCCGGATAAATTGCGAGAAGGACAGGCGGGTGGTAGTAGAGCACAACCGTAACGAGATGCAAGACGGCAAACCAGGAAGTGAAGCAGGCGGGGGCCCATCCATTAAAGTGCGAATACATAGGTGTATCATCGAGGGGAAGTGGGTAACAGATGAACAGGCAAGAAAGAAAAAGGGAAGCGTACGTAGGCGGAGAGGCAGCTAAGTGAAGTTGGTAGGCAGCGAGAGCGAGAAACATGTGGACTAGCTTGTCCGTCGTGCGAGCGATCGTGCGTCATGCGGGCCGTTATATGTTGAGATCACCAGAGACGTGTCGGGGTATAGATGGGAGTGGAAGGAACCTCAACCGATTTTCCGGAAGCAGCAGGGAGCTCAGGAAGGGCTACCAGCTTACTGCTGCCGCTTCTTCACGTTCTGCGAGAGCCACTGAAGGCCTTCGAAGAGACCCTCTCCGGTTGTGGCGCAACTGCGCAACATGAGTGATGTGCGGCGGGTGCAGTAGGCAATATGGCACGTACCTTGGGTGGACATACCATGACCTGTCGCGCATTCGGTGCAGACCCAACTTCTCCGTGACTTCCGCGGGCGACATTGCTATATAACCAACCGGTCGGCGGTTGCAAACGGGTCAGACATTGTCGGAGGGACGCACCTCCGGGCAAATCCTGCTTGTTCGCAAAGACCAACAGAAGACAGTCCTTCATTTCACGGTCGCTCAATATACGGTGGAGCTCTTGCTTGGCCTCGTCTATACGCTCCCGATCCGAGCTGTCCACGACGAAGACGAGGCCCTGGGTGCCAGTGTAGTAATGCCTCCATAGCGGACGAATCTTGTCTTGGCCGCCGACATCCCAGACGTTGAACTTGACATTCTTGTATGTTACCGTCTCCACGTTAAAGCCGACTACACGTCACGGCCACAGTTCTAGCCACGTCGCGCCTCAGATTGCAATTGGCGGCACGCACCTGTAGGGATGGTCGTGACAGACTGGTTCAACTTGAGCTTGTAGAGGATGGCTTGCGATAGAGCCCGTCTTTTAGCACCGCAAAACCTCAGAGACAGAACGCACAATCAGCACTCACTGGTCTTGCCCGCCGCGTCAAGCCCCAACATCAGCAGCCGCATCTCCTTGTTCCCGAAAATCTTCCCTGCGACGTGGGAGGCGGGCCCTCGTCAGCATGTCCAATCAACGCCGCTGCCTCGCATGACCTGGCGACCGCGGGTGGTGAGACGGGAGAGGAAACGCACCCAAGGCCTTCGAGAGATTGGCACCCATGACTGACAGCGGATTGCAGAAGGTAACGAACGACGGGAGGTGGGAGAGCGAGGGAAGAACAGGAGAGTCAACGACAGAGCGGCACGGCGCGTCGACTCGAGCGAGAGTCCAATCCGACCTCCCAGACGCCCAATCCCTCGGAGCGGACCCCGGCCACCCCTCTATCAGACCACTTTGTGCGCGGCCGCCGGCATGTTCGTGCATTTGCGCATGCTACTGCAGGCAGAACCCAGACTCGATGTCATTATGCTGCCCGTTCCGAGAGCACATTAGACGAGGATATATCACTCTAGCACTAGTACACAGAACACTCCAGACGCATGAGGTATACACAGCAGAACCACCGTCCCAAGCAAATCATAGCCAGATAGTCCTCTCCACATCGAACGCTACGACGGAGGTTGCACAGCGCGAGGCGAGGCGAGCTGCGACTGGTTGAACACTTTCAGCCAGCCTTCGCCCATGTCCGAGCGCAACGCCTCGATGCGCGCGCGGAACGCATCCGCCTCCTTAAACTGGCTCTCTGCGGTTCCATCATCCCTGCTCGGCTCGTATACTGAGGCCGAAACGCGCGCACGCCTGCCTGCCGACCGGGTGAGCGTGGACGACTTGCGGAGCGAGCCGTACGAAGAGGCCGCATATGCCTCGGCGGAGTCCCCCAGCCCCGAGTTCGCCGAGGGAGCGAACTCGGTCATGTGTCGGCTGTGTCGCGACTTCGGCTTTGCGACGGGCGTGGGCTGCACAGACGGCGCCACGGCTGGAGTCACAGACTGCTCGCTCTGCTGGGGTGGCGGCTGTGTAGGCTGAGGAGCGGGGTGTTGCTGCTCAGGTGCTGCGGTGCGCTTGGTTGGGCTGGCGGTCCTCGAGGTGATAGTTGGCCGGGAGGCACTCCTCGCACTTGCCGCCTCACTGCCCTCTCGCCCACCATCCAGGTCGACTATCCGCTTATTCTTCTTCTTTCGCCCACGAGCGGCCGCAGCGGCAAGATGTGGCGAGGTAGGATGAGATGCGGGAGAATCAGTGGGTGAGGAGTGCAGGGGACTTCCGCGGGGGCCAGCGATACCATTGAGCTTCGACGGACTGCCGACCGGGACGACTGGCGGTGATTGGGCAACGGATATGGGTCTGGAGGAGGTCATTTGTTCGGGTGGAGGGGAGGTCAGGTAACGTTTCTCGTAGAAACCGGGCGGCGACCCGTCGAGGAGGATCGTCTTCTTCTCCTTCCAGAAGAAGTCGAAGCAGCGTATGCGGTAACCTTCCTCGATCTCCACCAACGGATTGCCCTCGACCCACACTTCGGCTATGTTGGGGAGCGTGGCGAGGCGTCCGATCTCGGCACTCTCTTCGATGAGGTTGTGACGGAGGTCGACGCGCTCGAGCGCGAGCAGCCGCTCGAGGCCGCATATGGATTCGAGGCGATTACGGGAGAGGTTGAGAGTGAGGATGCCGCCGAGCATGGTGTATATACCCAGGACGGAGTCAATCATGTTATCTGAAAGGTTCAGGTATACTAGGTTGTAGAGGGCGGAAAGACCGGGCGGCACGGAGACAAGGAGATTAGACGAGAGGTCAAGGTGGGTGAGGGAGGTAAGATGAGAGAGGAAGGACGTAGGAAGGAAGGTGAGGGCGTTATCCGCCAGGGAGAGATGTCGTAGGAAGGCCCATTTGTATGAAGACAATTGCCGGGGTGTTGAGAGCGTGGGCGTGTCAGGGTCTTTGGCCTCAGCCGTATGATCGTCTTCCGCATCCTCGTCGCCCTCGGGAACAGATTCCGGAAGTTGTGTGCTGTGAAAGGATGACTGTCGCGAGACACCGCGAGCTATCCGCCTTGACTTGCTGGAGCTGATCCTGCCCT